CTTGTCGGAGCCGTCCGGCTTCTCTGCCTTCAGGGACTGGACCTCGTCCTCGAGCGCCTGTACCGTGGTGGCGGTGGGTCCGGGAGAGGAGGGCGGCGGGACGTGTGTTGGCGGAGACGAGGGATGCGGGCGCGGCGGCGGAGGGGAGGAAAGTGGCGGGGAGATGGAGGACGGGTGGAAGGGAGACGGGGAGGCGGCGGTGGCGGGGAGGTGTGAGGAGGAGGCGAGGGCGGCGAGGACGAGGGCGCGGCGGTGGCGGTGGTGGGGCGGGGGCGGCTGGGTCGGCCTTCACGTCACGCGAAGTGCCAAGCTTGTCGGAGCCGTCCGGCGTCGACCCCGCCTTGAGCGACTGGACCTCGTCCTTGAGCTCCTGCACCTTGTTCACGAGCGCCTGACCCGTGGTGGCGAGGGTGGGCTGGCGGCGGCGAGCGGGGGAAGGGGAGGGAGGGGGACATCGGCCTTGATGTAGCGCGAAGTGCCACACTTGTCGGAGTCGTCCGGCGTCCCCGCCTTGAGCGCCTGGTTCTCGTCCTTGAGCGCCTGGTTCTCGTCCTTGAGCGCCTGGTTCTCGTCCTTGAGCGACTGGTTCTCCGCGCGTGCCTCCCCGATGTCGGCCCTGCCGTTGATGTCATCCGTCACTGCGTGCTCCATCTTCGAGGCGGTGCAACCCATTTTGAGCGGTGTTCTGCACACGAGGGGAGCGCACACCGTGAGTCGGGGGATGCGAACGCGTAACGCTTGTGGGTTTGATTGTGCGCTCTGGGATGGGGAGGCGGCAGAGGCGGAGCCGGAGGCGGCAGCGGCGGTGGCGGAGCAGTGGCAGCGGAGGCCGGCGGCACACAAGAGCTGCTCGGGCGTGAGGGAGGGCGGCGGCGGCGGCCTTGAAGTCGATCGTCGATCAAAATCGGTTCCTCGGACACACCGTTTACGCAGCGCTTACCTCTTGGTCTGAGGTGTGAAGCGATGGAGGCGCTCGCCGCGTGCGGCGATTGAGCGCCTCCCTCTCTCTCCGGCTGCGCGCCTGACCGGTGCAGCCTCCGAGTCGGCGTCTAGCGCGCGCGATAAGGTTTTTGCTCGCCTTCCCTGGGACCCCGTGTTGCGTGACTCTGTGCGATTCCGGGCCCGGGTTGTGCGTTTACGTGAACCGCGCCATTGCTGCTGTAACTGTTACGTCTTCGGTCCCCGCGGGAAGCCCCGCGCATAGGACAACAACGTCTGTCCCACACACGCACAGTCCACAGACGCGCACATACATCATGCTCGGGCACCCCCCACAGTGACTGTAGTGGTGTGAGCACACACGCAAAATCGGCTTTTTAGTTTTTGGGGCACACACATCACTCCAGACACGCGGACACACACAGAAGGACCGCATGCACGCCACGCGAACCTAGCTTAGAGTACTCTCACAACACGCGCATCAGCCCGCCGATCGTTGGGCGCCTGCCTACGCTCCGGCCGCGGTGTACCCCGTGGCGCACTCCTGCCTAGCCGGGCGCTTCGCTGAGAGCTCCGCTCTCACGATCCACGCCCCTCTCCCGCAGACCGCCCTTGGCGGCGCCCGTGGCCGCCCGACTGCCGCCGTGACGAGCCCACCCCTTCGACGCCGTCAGGGAGGCACGCGGTTGTGCGTCTTGCAAAAGGGGCAGGCGACGATGGCGGTGTTGGGCGGCACCCCAAACTTGTTGCGGCAGCCGTAGCACATGATTGTCTTTGGCGCCGGGGCCGCAGCCGCCGCGGACGAGTAGGCCGGCACCGGCGTCGCCACCGCCCGCGCCGGCACGGGCGCGGGGCGCGCGGGCACCGCGGTGGCCGTCGGACGCGCTGCCGGCACTGTTGGGGGAGGGGAGGCGCCGCCAGCGCCGGCGTGACTGGCCTGCCACGCGGCGCGCGCCTCCGCCAGCGAGGCTCCGCCGCCCGCGTACGAAGACGGCGCCGCGTGCGCCGCCGCCGGCTGCGCCGTGGCCTGCGTGAAGGTGGGCGGCGGCTCGTTCATGCGGCGGAGTAGCGACGCGCGCTCCGCCTCGCGGAGGTCGGCAATCTCGGCGCCCTTCTCGGACGCCTTGCGCAGCTCGGTGAGCACGACCTTAGTAAGGTAAGGTCAGG